CATGATACAAGAAAAGATGTCATGCCAAAAACGCTCACAGTAGTTAGTGAGTAAACTCACGACCTGTCATGACCTGGTTGAGTGACTTCCTCCAATCAACGTGAAAGGATTACCCACAGAGAAAGAAAGAATTAAAGTCACCCATAAATCTTATCCTAACGTAGTACTCCAACTTCTAAATGCCTCTCAAAGAAGGATTAAAATCCTAAAGATATCCTATCTACGTGGTATAGGTACTCACAACCTAAAATAATAAACGAGATTCTGTCTACATGGTCACACCTGGTGATTGTGAAGATCTCAAATTCTATCAACAGTCAGACAGCATGGCTGTTCATATTCATTTACAACATCCTCTTATAATTAGTATAAAAGTGTCCCACACAAAACCTTCTTTTATTTATTCTTTCAAAATACAAAACAGAAAGTGGGGTGTGGGGAAATGGGACATATTCCTACGTGAAATAATGAGACATTAGTAGTTGTGACGGCTATATCATAATTGTACTGTTTAAAGCATAAATTTGGCGAACGAAAAACGTTATATTTGCAATCAAATGGAATGACTCGTGTGGGCAAATGAATATGTTCGCAATCCACAAACAATCATTATATTAATGGCGAACATTTACCAACCCGCGACAATCTTGTCAACACGGGGGTTCCCCTAGCAATAAACTCGCATCTAAATTCACTACTGTTTTACTGTCGGCTAGCCACAATGGCTAGACTGGACCCTAGTGGAATGGTTCATGCCATAAAAGTCTAGCAACCGAACACTAATTAAGACGGGCCGACCTTGTATTTACGGTCTGGTGAACACAGCTCAATGGCCGCTCATTAACTCAAATTTCACATCTCACTGTTTTGTTTTATCTCACTATTCATTTGATAAATTTGTCTAATTCAACTGGAACCCGGTCCCGTGTTACACGCGTGTGCAACGGGTTGCACACGCGATGCACACCCGTTGCACACCCGTGACCAACGGGTGCTCACCCCGTGTGCAACCCGTTGAGCACCCGTGTCACATGCGTGTTACCCAGTAGTAACCCAGGCCAAAATGTTAAACCTACTCAACTGTATAAACACTGCCTTCTATCCTGTATATATTCTTGTCTTGTACTCTGTACTTCACTTGCTTGATAACAGTGTTAGAACCTGCATCGAAACCATCGCTAATAATTGAAATAAAGAACTTTTTTGTCCATATGTCTCAACCTTACTCATTCCAAATACAGTTACATATTCTATCATATACTGTAGATGGCAAAACAACACCAGTAATAACTTTTTTTGGTGCTGCAATTAGGCCATTTACAAAAAGGCCCAGTGAACATAGTTCACAGGAGCTAATGCATTGCACACAACCGGACATGTCATATTGGCAGGGATATGAGTTGTTTAGGTAGCTATTGACCTTTTTCACATTTTCGCCATCTTGGATAGAAAACGAGGCTTTGAGAGCATAGCTCCATGCAGTGTGAGTCGCATCAGCTCATAGGGAACAGACATCATGTTGTGCATTTCTCTGATGGACATTTAAAAAAAAATGGTATCCTCTCTATCTTATACAGAAGATATTTCACATTTAATCATGAGGTCCAACTAAAATATGCCTGTAATACACTGGAATGAGCATTTTGCTGTCAGGATCCTGGAAGTGAATCGAAAGGTGCATTTTGATATACTTATTTCAGAAATAGATTGTTTTCTCATAACCTCGTCGGCATATAGGTACAATGTGACAGTACATTCAATAACAGAAGATTTGTATCGTAAATGAACTGCATAACATGAAACACGTCAGTGTACTTTTGCAAATTTGCTCAGTCAATGCGTGGCTTGGCGAACTGGAGATCGTCGATCATGTTTATTTCACGTTTCATAGTGGTGTTTGCTGCACAACACACTATCGTTTTGCCATGAGTCCAGTTGACAAAAGACACTTTTTCTGCTATGATTTTCATCTTAACATATAACGATGTAAATAAAATTAGTGTCAAAATAAATATTCAGAAGGGGCGATAACTCTATTCAGTGTGTACAATGACAGATGATACTTTACTTGTTCTTCAAACATCACTTACTTAACTGATTATTGCCGATTGAGATTGTACCGTGCACGACAAAAGTAATAATGTGTGAACTGTTTAAAATAAGTTAAACGGAAACTAAAAATTGATAAATATAAATAATGCATGAAATTGAAGAAATATAAGAATTGATACAACCACCAACTTCTTGAACACCCTCACCTAATCCTGTATGATGATAGGTAATTGTATATCAAAAGGAAGCTACCTGGTACTAATACATTTATCTTGAATAGTTTGAAAATGTCTTGATCAGATATGAGTACAGATAAAATAACAAAAATAAAAAGGAATCAACTTCAATTGGTAATCAAGCCAAGATAAAATATATGTATCGGTACAAATTATGTTGATGGAACAAGCTGGATTTCTCATATTTAACAACAAAAAACCCTGAAATGAATAATTCAATAATATTGTAATAATATTTCTACTTCCATTATTTTTTATAAACAATGCATATTCACCTTCTCTCAAAATATTGCTTATTTAGAAAACAACATTCTTCTGAAATAGAGAAATTGAAGGAAAATTAATCACAGTGTGTAACATTACATGCTACTTTAGAACAATCTTGAAAGCATCAATTTATCTGATATGTCTAAAACTCAAACAGTATATTCTGTGTAAACAGTAAACACAACAGATGCATCAATTTATTGACAGTGTACTACAGCTCTTTATATCAATGCCACACAGAAACTCTTGTTTTAATGAAACACGTTTTGATATTTGTATTACTGGTATGTATTTAATCATGAAATACTTTGTTTAGTCTGACCATGCTGAAAACATACTTTCGCTAGAGTGAAATAAATAAGATTTTTCTTAAAATCAGGTGAAATATCACGTTTTGTCACCCCAACAGTCAGTCTGCCTCATTGACACTATGGTTTTCTGAGTAAGGTCATGAAGATCATAAAGAAAATATAAGACTTGAATTTGTTTTGGTCAAATGAAATGTTTATCTCTTCTTGTGGTTTACTAAAGTTGATATCTTGACTTGAAAATATTAACTTTGTCAGATCACAAGATGAGATAAATTCATGCGATCATCGTTATTTGACAAGGAAAACAAATTTCTACTATGTATTTATATATTTTTATATTTCTCGTGATTGATTGATTGATTGAATTATAAAAATTATCAAAATGATCACACCACTTGACTTGATTGAAATATACTAAAGTTCTAAAGATTGTTAACAATAGTAAAATATAACATCATAAGGATATAATTATTGCAAAATGACACAGTAAGCACAACTATATTCTTACATATAAATTGATATGATTAATAATCAACAATACATGGCAATTGCTTGCACAAAAGAAATCATTTTGTTTTAAAAGTTTCAAAACATGTTTGTGGACATAAGACCAGATGGGTTTCACAATTAAACAGGGAATAAATGAGTAATGATTGCAATACGCATGGGAATTAAAAATAATTCTGTTTATACTTTAAGTTTATAGTAATGTCAATATCAATTTATGCATTTGAAATATTTGAATACAAACTGTTAAAGAGTTATCTGTTTCTGTAAATTATATAAAGATCACATGTAGATTGAACATTTACTGGCCATTAATTAGTTGGGTTTTTGTTCATTTCATGACATGATTAATTTGGTACAGTAAAGTAAATATCATTTTGGTAGAAATATTGTTTACAAAATTGCAGATCAAACTGTAATTTACTTCAAATATTTACACACCCTTTATGTAATAATTCAATTGAAATATTACACCTCATGCTATCTAATCTGACATTGACAATCAAAATAACAACTGTTCAAAATCACATCAGCACAAGTAGATCTAGAGGTCAAATATTCTATTGGAATGCATTTGAGTCCATTACAATTTACATCAAATACACAACTGATGCAAAATTCTGATTTGTTACGATTGTAAATTCTCAGTAGGTTACAATTTGATACATTATATCAACATATCAATTTAGTTTCTGACATATATCTAGATATGGTCAAAAGACTTCAAATACAACCCGCAAAGTTATTTAAACTCACAATAAATAGTTTGGCTTAATGGTGTGTAAACAATGAATTATTCTTTACAAGATCTCAGTAGCATTTGTATTAAGTCTGTTCAGCTACCATAAACTGTACTGGGAGTTACCAGGTGGTCATGGATATTTTAAATTGAAATCACAACAGAACGGCCAGACTCACTTGCTAAATTTATATATCGGTAAGGAGACCAGATAACAGTGGAATAGTTTGTCAATGATAAGAATAAGAATAATGTTCAATACTTACGATAAATGTACCGGGATGGTTAAATTGTCAAAGTTTGTCCGGATTGCGTGCCTTGTTGACATCTCCATGTGTTTCATGTACTATCCAGCCTTCACCTTCTGCTCTCCAAGCCTCACTTTCAAACCGGAAGTAGCGAAGTGTGAAAAAGGTCAATAGGCATGTGACTTTCTGTTTTAAGGTTGTAGTGTGTAAGATGTTTGTGTTACCAAATTACCACTCTCATCTGCACTCAACTTCACAGAATTGGAAAATATTGCAGTAATGCAATATGTTATATATCAGAAACTGCTTTATCAAATAACATGATACTTTTCATGGGTTGTTGTTACCATATGTGTCCTCATGAGCTAATAGATCAGTCAGTTAGCCAACAAATGTCATTACTTGATACATTCAACTGACCTTGAATGAGGAACAGAATATGGTGGCAATATTAAGAAAAATACTATTAATTTGTTTGACAATTGTTTTTATCTTGAATATACAGAACTCTTTGGATCAGGAATTTAAAAAAAATGTGTGTCCAAAAGTCATCTGTTAGAATCCAATTGGTTAAGCATCGTTCTGGAAGCATTTATGTTTGTAGTTGTCAATAATATTATTGCACTATGTATTTATGCAGGTTGGGTATGATACGATCAACAGCAGTGAGGATCAGATACTGAAACAAGACATGCCACCTGCCTTAAGTCGTGTTGAACAATCTTCGGTTCTTCTCCTCCAAGCTTCGGAACTCCTCAGAGCTGATCCATACTCAGGACCAGCTCGTAAAAAACTGATTGAAGGATCAAGAGGTAATGTGTTCATGACTAAATTGCACAATGTACGTAAACAGGGTGAATCCACTAACTAAAATAGGTTGATGTAATTTAATTATTATCAACCATTGATCTTGGCAAAGTCATCATGTCAGAAGTACACTCATTTCTGCAGCCTATTTGTAGTGATAAAAGAAAATGTTATCTCATTGAAACATTTGAGTATTTTCAACAATCATATAGTGTCATATTGATTGAGATGAAATGTGAATGTAATTCAGTTGTAAAAATAAATGATAGAGTTCCATTTGCTTTTTTAAGTGTTCAATGATGTTGAAAATGTCACTTGTGTCTTCAGATTTATGTTCACCACATTGCTGGTTGTCAAGACAACATTTGGTTTGATGAAACCTTGGTCAAAGTGTACTGTTGAATGTCTTGCAACATTATTACTATCAATGTTTTGTCAAGATTCAGTTGAGTTAGCACTAATAGTTGATCAATTGTTCACTGTTCACAGATTTTTGTAAGTGTGTTCATATAAATGAAACTGATGTGCAGGTAAAAACTAATAATATCTTTAGGTATGCGTATTTCACGAAACTAAAGGTAACAATGTTTAATATGTTGTTGTACACTACTGCTAAGAAGTTCATTCCCTTTACACGCATGTGACAACAGGTGATCCACAGGCTACACTTGTGAACCTGTTGAACACGGGGGTGCAATGAGTGACCAATGGGTGCGTCATGGGTGTAACACAGGACTGGGTTTCAGTTGAATTCCAGAAATACAAATTAAAAAGTGAGATAAAACAAAACAATGAATCTTGAGTGAGCAGCCTTGGACTACATTAAATCGATTTGTGGAATGAGGAAATTTGCCTTTCCCTTGTTGGTTGTAAATGGCATTCTAGGTGTTTGCAAATATGACGAAGTTGGTTGACCTAAATTGACACTTATGATGGTACAAGTATGAGTGCAGTTACCATGGTTATCAACATGACCAATAGCAATGCCCTATTATCTTATGTAGGAGTATGGATTTTTCCTTGAATGACCTTTATGATCTAAATATTATCTCCTTCAACACCGTAGGCCGGTACACCGGCCAAGAAACCTCGAGTCCCCAGATACCACAGCCAGGTAGACCCGCCAAGCCATAGTGAGTTAGTGTGTGAGTTGGGTAACGCAGCTTTTAACAGTATTCCAGTTATATCACGGCGTGTCAGCTTAATGTGGGAGGAAAGCCCGAAGTGGTGCAGGTCTCACACGTTTACCACTTTGGTGAAACCCATGAGCACGGGTATGGTGCTGACAAACCTAGAAACATAATTGGGGCGAACCGGGATTCGAACCCACAACCATAGGTTTCTGGCGTGCCCAAGGGACGCAACTCTGCACAGAGAATTGCAGCGCCTTAGACGACTGGGCCACCCGTGCCCCCCCCCAAGCCATAGTCAAGTCATAGTCAATAGTATATAATTTGATGAACCTACCTGTCATATTATTCATGTATTAAATCTATCATATTTCACAATGTCTGAAATACGTATTCCATTTCAATTTATCATTTTTTATCGATAGAATTAAAAATAATTCATTATTTCCCACAATGTTATTGAAAAAACACACACACTTCGACAACGGGTCCACATCAAACATGTCAAACAAGAGCAAAATAAAAATGTTTCAAGCAAATCTTAAAATATATTATGCAAAGTAATAAATTAAAATAACAAAAATATATCTTAAAGGTGTCAAAGTTATTATTTCCATCTTTTCGTGCGATTGCATGTAATGTAAGTGAAATGACATCTCGGCTTTTGTTGCCTTCATGCCAAAATATATGCATGAAAAATCTTTGTCACAGCTCGTAAACTAGCACAATACATACACAAAGTTCCATATCTTAATATAGATTGCAATTCCTGCCGTAAATGTTCAGGACCTGTGAGGATCTGGGGTAGAATAGGCCTTCAGCAACCCATGCTTGCCCTTAAAGGCGACTATGCTTGTCGTAAGAGGTGACTAACGGGATCGGGTGGTCAGACTCGCTGACTTGGTTGATGCATGTCATCGATCCCAATTTGGATGGATCAATGCTCATGATGTCAATCACTGGATTGTCTGGTCCAGACTCGATTATTTACAGACCACCGTCTTATTGCTGGAATATTGCTGAGTGCAGCGTTAAACAAACAAAAAATCAAACAAACAAAATTATAATGTTCAGAATAACAGGATAAACATAAACCTTTCGTCAAAATCTGAAATTTATCATGCATGAGGACGGTACCATGACTGTTATTTGATTGGCTGCCTTAGGTCACATGCTCCAATTTAATCAATCACTAACCTTGTAGCAGATTTCGTCAAGAAAGCGTTATAACAAACCAATTTATATACAATAAAATCGCTTGTTACAGCTATGAAAAGACTCCGGGCGAGGTTACTATCGTTTTGATGAAAAAATAAGTTTTCTAATGGTGTGTCATATGCCAGTCTTCCCGCACATGTTATTCATACGAAGCCTCGAGAACGGAGGTATTTCTTCATGTTACTGAGCGGACAGATGCTGGGAAATGGGTGAAAACAGATACTATTTATAATTCTTTTTAAAATTATTTTCCAATTATGTAAACAAAGATAATAAAAAAGAAATAGGTAAGTGGATTTTATGAAATCTTATATTTGCCGAAAATCGTCAAATTTTAGCTTCCTTGGTCCTTAATGTGGACGTTATGAATGTGATAGCTTACATTTTTTTATTTACAACGAACTTAATTAAGTTGTAAATGCATTATATAAATAATCTGATAAACACAAGTTTCATATTGATAAACAATAGGATTAGACCTTTCAAATGGTGTATAATTTGTAGTAGCTAAGATGTTTTACAATCAGATATTTTCCTTGATAAATGTTGACTAGTGTTGAAAGAGTTATTCAAGTAATCTACAGAGTTTGTAGCTTTAAAATTATTTCATTAGGGACTTCCCATACTAAATAAACAACCTCATGTCTGTAACATTTTCAATACCAACCCATAATAACCAGGAATACTATCATGGACCCAGAATCTTTGGTTTCTTTTCATTTTAGTTTGGCTTCCACGACTTGAAATTAGAAAAATATACTTACAGCATTTAGCAATAATTCCAGCAAAATCATGGTAATGGACACCAGAAATGGGCTTCACACATTTTACCCAAGTGGGGAATTGAACCTTGGCCTTCGGTGTAACGTGCAAAAACTTTAAACACCAGGCTCCCCTATGACCCAAGGTCATAATGACAAGGTTAAAATACGTTTCTGGTGCCATAAGGGCACACTTTGGAGTCTCATTTAGCAATATACATACCTTGTGACAATGTTTATGTGATCCTACTTTTGTCAAGTAAATTTCTTACGCTGACGACAAGACATGGAATTAGCACATGGCACTGAATCGAAATTATTTCTTGGATATTCTTTATTTTCATGTATGTTCTCCTTTTCATCCATATGACAGGTATTCTTCAAGGGACATCTGCCCTTCTTCTTGCTTTTGATGAGTCTGAGGTACGCAAGATTATTCGAGTCTGCAAGAACGTTCTTGAATATTTGGCCATCACAGAAGTGGTTGATCGTATGGAAGACTTAGTCACATATGTCAAGGCAAGTATGATTTCATCTTCATGATACTGTTTTGTGTTTATGCAATTTTTTACTTTAAGCTTAGAACCTTGATACTGTAGATCATGAAGTTGTTGCCAGTGCTGACCCCTAGCTATAAATGCATCATGAAATTAGTTTCAGTATCCCTGCTAAACATTAATATATTTTCCCTCGCAGCCACCTGAGCCCCTTAATTCTAATATGTAGTAACCCAGGCCAAAATGTAGAAGCCCAGGAACTCACCTAAAAGAAAACCAAGTGGGCTTATGTCATGGCCTGTTTGTCTGGCATCCGGGATATGGTTTAATGAACCCCTCAGAAACCACAGGACCAGTGTAACCAGGTCTCATCGGCGCTGTTCACAGAAGACTCTACGATTTTGCAAGAAATAGCTAGATGTCTGACTCCAGGGGTTGCCCGGTGGTTACTCATCAGCCATATGCAGCTGGGCATTACCTATCTAGGTACGGCTCTGGACTCATTAGCGGTGTTGAGGCCTCCAGGAGCCTGAGTGATAGCGGCTCAGATTGCCTCTGCAGTGTCTCTACCTCCGAACTCCTCAGCACTGCCATCATCTCCGGGAGCCTCAACAATAGTGCACATCCTGACTCCTCAGCGATGGCTGTCCCGTCGGAATACTTAGTAATGTTGATTACTCTAGGCGTGTCGACAATCTCTACACCACCGGGCGCCTCAGCGATGCTTGCACCTTAGGGCTAAGCCATAATGCCTGTGCTAACCTGAAGTCTGAAGTATGAAGCTACCTGCTCTTTCTTGTACCCACTGACGACTGCCTTATATGGACAATACTTTTTTCTTATATGTCACAATTGTATCCTGCATCGGTGCCTACCTAACAGCCTGCGACACAGACACTGCTGGCTCCTCATGCATTGCCAGCAACTTTGGCAGTCTCAATGCTTGAGCCTGTGTCCAAATTTGTAATCAAGCCAAGATAAAATAAATGTACCGGTACAGATTATGTTGATGGAACAATCTGGACTTCTCATATTTAACAAAGAAAATATTTCTTTATTTCTCACAATATAAGCTTGTTTTTTTCGTCCACTTCAGTTTTTCAGACTTTTCAAAACTTAACATGGACGGGGAGTCTTTGTCAGTATTTATTTCTCACAATATAAGCTTGTTTTTTCGTCCACTTCAGTTACCGATATTCAGACTTTTCAAAACTTAACATGGACCGGGAATCTTTGTCAGTAAAAAGCACCTAATTAAATTCCAGGAGAAAATAATTTTCGAACTTGTAAACAAATGGTACAATGTGCTTTTTTAGTGTCTGATAAATATTGGCCATGTTGTTTAGTGAGTGAATGAGGCTTTTCTCTTCCTCATCCTATTTACTGGGTAAGTGTGACAGGAAGCACTAGGGCTGTTACGATTCACTCGCGTATTCGGTGAATCGAACCGTATCCAGTCATGAATTGAATTCGTTATTTGTGGCCACTAGAATAGAATATTTATGAATATACAAGCATGTGCATTTACATATAAATATCCATAAGAACATATTATATGCATAGATTTCTTTAAAAGGCGACTACGCTTGTCATAAAAGGCGTCTAATAGGATCGGGTGGTCAGACTCACTGACTTAGTTGATGCATGTCATTGTATCCCAATTGCGTGGATCAATGCTCATGATGTCAATCACTTGATTGCCTGGTCCAGACTCGATTATTTACAGACTGCAGTCATATAGCTGGAATATTGCTGAGTGTGGCGTTAAACAACAAACAAACCAAATCAAAAGACAACATTCTTATGTTATTTAATTTGACAATATTGTGGTCACTGGTCTTTGTCGCATTTGAGCAGATACAAGTACCTGGATAAGTGCAGTATATAAATGTATAATATATTAATAATTAACAAACCATGTCAAATAATTTATGTTTATATTGCTTCACTGAATATAACAAATAATACATCAGCTGCCGACTTGTTATTATATTCGTGAATTAATATTCGTATTCGTTATCCTATATTCGTGATACGAATCGTGTTCGCCTCATAGTGTATTCGTTGCAGCCCTAGGAAGCACATTTGTTGATTGACTGATTATGGCTTTTCACTTCCTTGTCCTGTGACAGGACGTACATTGTAACCAGTGTGTTATTGTCAGCAGAAAGCTCCTCCAGACATCCATCACCGGATACAACTACTTCATTGTGTTGACTCACTGGACTCAAAGCCTGAAATGAATAACTCAACAATATTGTAATAATATTTCTACTTCTATAAAAAAAATGTATAAACAATGAATATTCACTTTCTCTCAAAATATTGCTTATTCAGAAAACAACATTCTTCTGAAATAGAGAAATTTAGGGAAAATTAATCACAGTGTGTAACATTACATGCTACTTTAGAACAATCTTGAAAGCATCAATTTATCTGATATGTCTAAAACTCAAACAGTATATTCTTTGTAAACACAACAGATGCATCAATTTAATGACAGTGTACTACAGCTCTTTATATCAATGCCACACAGAAACTCTTGTTTTAATGAAACATGTTTTAATATTTGTATTACTGGTATGTATTTAATCATGAAATACTTTGTTTAGTCTGACCATGCTGAAAACATACTTTCGCTAGAGTGAAATAAATAAGATATTTCTTAAAATCAGGTGAAATATCACGTTTTGTCACACCAACAGTCAGTCTGCCTCATTGACACTATGGTTTTCTGAGTAAGGTCATGAAGATCATAAAGAAAATATAAGACTTGAATTTATTTTGTCAAATGAAATGTTTATCTCTTGTGGTTTACTAAAGTTGATATCTTGACTTGAAAATATTAACTATGTCAGATCGCAAGATGAGATAAATTCATGCTATCATCTTTATTTGACAAGGAAAACAAATTTCTACTATGTATTTATATATTTTTATATTTCTCGTGATTGATTGATTGATTGAATTATAAAAATTATCAAAATGATCACACCACTTGACTTGATTGAAATATACTAAAGTTCTAAAGATTGTTAACAATAGTAAAATATAACATCATAAGGATATAATTATTGCAAAATGACACAGTAAGCACAACTATATTCTTACATATAAATTGATATGATTAATAATCAACAATACATGGCAATTGCTTGCACAAAAGAAATCATTTTGTTTTAAAAGTTTCAAAACATGTTTGTGGACATAAGACCAGATGGGTTTCACAATTAAACAGGGAATAAATGAGTAATGATTGCAATACGCATGGGAATTAAAAATAATTCTGTTTATACTTTAAGTTTATAGTAATGTCAATATCAATTTATGCATTTGAAATATTTGAATACAAACTGTTAAAGAGTTATCTGTTTCTGTAAATTATATAAAGATCACATGTAGATTGAACATTTACTGGCCATTAATTAGTTGGGTTTTTGTTCATTTCATGACATGATTAATTTGGTACAGTAAAGTAAATATCATTTTGGTAGAAATATTGTTTACAAAATTGCAGATCAAACTGTAATTTACTTCAAATATTTACACACCCTTTATGTAATAATTCAATTGAAATATTACACCTCATGCTATCTAATCTGACATTGACAATCAAAATAACAACTGTTCAAAATCACATCAGCACAAGTAGATCTAGAGGTCAAATATTCTATTGGAATGCATTTGAGTCCATTACAATTTACATCAAATACACAACTGATGCAAAATTCTGATTTGTTACGATTGTAAATTCTCAGTAGGTTACAATTTGATACATTATATCAACATATCAATTTAGTTTCTGACATATATCTAGATATGGTCAAAAGACTTCAAATACAACCCGCAAAGTTATTTAAACTCACAATAAATAGTTTGGCTTAATGGTGTGTAAACAATGAATTATTCTTTAGAAGATCTCAGTAGCATTTGTATTAAGTCTGTTCAGCTACCATAAACTGCATTGGGAGTTACCAAGAGGTCACGGATATTTTAAATTGAAATCACAACAGAACGGCCAGACTCACTTGCTAAATTTATATCGGGAAGGAGACCAGATAACAGTAGAATAGTTTGTCAATGATAAGAATAAGAATAATGTTGAATACTTAAGATAAATGTTGCCGCGATAGTTTGTCCGGATTGCGTGCCTTGTTGACATCTCCATGTGTTTCATGTGCTATCCAGCCTTCATCTTCTGCTCTCCAAGGGGTGGCCTGGTAGCCAAGTGGTTAAAGCGTTCGCTCGTCACGCCGAAGACCCGGGTTCGATTCCCGACATGGGTACAATGTGTGAAGCCCATTTCTGGAGTCCCCCGCCGTTATATTGCTGGAATATTGCTAAAAGCGGCGTAAAAAACCATACTCACTCACTCACTGCTCTCCAAGCCTCGCTTTCAAACCGGAAGTAGCGAAGTATGAAATAGGTCAATAATCTTGGCTGAATACCTCCATTTTCTTCAAACCAAGCGACACCTATAAGACTGCACCATTACTCCATAATTGGTGGTATTCAACTTGGTGGTGGCAGTTGCGGTAGATCGGATGATGACCAAGACCTTGGAACTGCTCCTTAATACTTCTTCCTCCTTAAAAATCATAGGCCAAGTTTCGCAATCCCGCATTGGGATCTGATTATTGGTACTTGGGTTCTTGCATGCTCCCCTGTTGGAGCCTCTCCACGTTACATCATTTTATAACATTGCCAATAAACAACCCTTGTATTGGCCCTTGCCACGCGGGTAAGTGAGCTTCACTCTCTCGACTTTACCTGCGTAAACTTTTAAGTGTAGTCGAGAGCTATTACTTTGGGCTGTCCGGAGCTTTCATTACCAAGATAAACTACCAGAACAGCCTGACCAGTCTTTCACCATCCCTCTATTATCATCATTTATGGGAGCCGTATTTAAGGAGAAACTCTTATTGTGACATCACTGTCTGTCTCATGCTCCAAGACTGCTTGGAAATGCCTATTTATTCACATCGTCCAGACCTCAATGAATGAAGTCAGCCGCAACACCAT